GGCAGTTAGCCATTACGAAATGAAAGCAGTCGCGCTGCCGCATATAAAGTCATTTTTGGAACAGCTTAGAACCGCTGATTAATTAGTAGAATATAACAGATGAATGCATATAAAACAATGGCTAACCTCAAACTGAAATGTATTTGGATTTTAATGATAAATGGACAGAGGAGAGGACAGACATTTTTTATCTTTTCTCTTTTTCGTTTTATTTTTATGTCAAATTATTTTTTCCAATAAAATGTCAGGGGAGTACAGAATGATCTAAAAATAATAATAATAATAAATATATATTTTTACTTTAGTCAAGGGAAATATGCATATTTTCTTTTTGTGCAGGAAACACATGCTGGAAAAATACTGTTAAACTAAATCTTTCTGCAGTAATACATCAGCAGGGGTCGCTGTTCTCAAGGGAAATATCAGAAGACAGACCACAAATGATAATGGTCAATGGCTTTTTTATTGTTGACTAATAATCTGGAGGTCATTTTTCTAAAATTTATACAACAAATGAAAAAAAAAAATCTTATTACAAACTATAGAATGCAAAGTATATATGTAATTATCAAGTTCACCCCAGCCATAGTTATATATGGAGAAGAGATTTTAATACTGAAATGAATGACAGGTATGATGGGTATCCTCAAAAGGATGAAATTAATGGAATCACACAGGATGTAAGTGATTGATATTTGGACATATAATCACCCAAATACCAAGATCTACCCATGGAGCAATAGGGACTTTCTTTACAATTGATTTTTCTTTTATCACTACAAACATGTTTCAAATAGGTGAAAACAGAAATTATGCAAACAGTATTTACTGAGCTCTAGCTATTAAAATAAACTTTGTTACCAAAAGGTCAAGAGATAAACATGTATAAATGAAAATGTACTTAATGATGTCAACTTTTAAAACAAACTCAACCAATATAGAGAGACCTGGGAATTAATAACATTTTAAATCTGAAAATTTGTAACTAGATTGAGAAAGCAACTCTCTTTTCAAACAATGTCAATTACTGAATATGTTTATTTAAAAAAGGACAAACAAGAACACCTCGAAATAATACAGAACTTAGTAGATTAAATGTATGAAGAAAGGGAAAAGATGCTTTTATAAGATGAAGAAGAAAATGACTTGAGCACAGTGAAAAAATTGTTTGTCTTTCATTTAGAAAAAAAAGAAGACTATGAAATAAAATTTCACAGGTAGACAAACTTTAAATAAATAATGTATCTAAAAATAAAATCAATGAAGAATATGTAGCCAGTTTCTACGGGAAATAATATTCCAGGGATAATCTTGATAAAACAAATAAATTAAAAACATTTTCCTTAATATAAAATCAAATTCAAAAACAATTGATGTAAGATTTAAAAATCAATGTGACCAAACATTCTGATTTAATGATATCTATCTATTCATTTAAGACAATAAACCCCAATGGCAATGATGGTCTATGAATGAATTGGATAAACACTTTGAAGAGCCAGCTCTATAAAAAGGCTCTCTGCCATCTGCTTTTAAACAAAAACTCATCAAACAATTTCTAAAACTAAAAAAAGATAAATTAAATATTGAATAGTGATGCTGAAATATTTGCCTACATCTTATGAAAAGGTAAGAGAGAAGAAGAGAGTCAGAAACTACTAATGAACAGTCAAGACTGTATTATAAATAATGTAAGATTGAATCTGGATAAGCTGGATTATAATGTTTATATTATTGAGGGCAGTTTTGTCTTATTTGTTAATTTTTGCAAAGCATTAGATACAGTTAGTCTCCAATTCACGACCAAAACAAAGCAAACATTTGGATATGGAAAACGGTTCATCGGTATATTTATTTATAACAGCTGTAGCCGTTCTATAAAACTGCCATATGGAATGTTGCTCATATTTTTTTTAGAGGAAAAAACAAAGCTGCAGAATCAGTCCATATGTTTCTTTTCTGCTTGCAGTACAAATGATGGCCACTGAAATTAAAATGACACATTTTTAAGGTACTGAAACTTTGAACAAAGAATCTAAAAGATCACAGTTAGCTGATGATATGGTGATTTTCCTCATTTATCAGACTGGTATAAATTAATTAGACTTTTCAGACAAGTTTGGTTTAAGAATGAATTTAAGCAAGTCCATTCTGCCGGCAATTAAAAATCCCCCAAAAATTCCAAAATACTTGGTATCTGAGAAAAAAAAAAACTGCTGGGAGTGAATGAGAATCAAACTGATACCTTTCTAATCTAACCCTACAATATTCTGTGGGTGGCTTATGTGCCTTCTCTCAATTCATGCTCCAGTTTTATTAGCCAAGGCTATTTGAAGTCCAACCTATATTTTGTTATCAATAAACATTCTGAAAAAGATCTGTAAAAAAAACACAAAAGCTGGACCACGTTCATACATTTCATCAAGAACAACATAGTGCATTTAAAAGAACGTGTGACAATTAATATTTATAAAAATTAACTAGATATCCTAAAAAGGAAAATATTTGCCAAACCAAAATATTAAATCAACAAAAAAGGGGGACTGGAATTTTTGCTAAAATTTAACTAAATATTAGAGAAAAAAAACATGAACTTATAAGACTTCAATAAACAAGCAGACACGGCTTCCCACCAACCATGGAACAATAAATAGATCAAATATTAAAATAAAAAACTACTTTTTAAAAAGTTGCGTCATTTTTGATACAGACTAATCAAGTTATCTGTCAGCATTACAAATATATACTTATAAGACTGTATTGCTTTTTAAAAGCTTTAAATGCATCAATTTGAGGTCAAGTTTGTGAAGCAACCAGGAGGTATTTTTTACACTCAAATAAGTCGACATCAAAATAAGTTCATTTTTTCTTAAAATAGGTGTTTGTTCTTGAACTGAGGGGGTAAGTGAGAAGCTTTGTCAATGGAGCAAGAGGATTTACATTTAAAATAAGAAAAAGGAATTGCATTGTCTTATTTCAAGTGCATTCTATTTAATTATCTTATTTAAGATTAAAAAAACTTATTATAAAAAGGTTATTTGCAAATGGAATGAAAACATTCCATTTGCAAATAACCTTATTTACCTGCTCAAATTAAGGGTAAATACACCTAATTTAAGAAAAGTTGCCTTATTTCTAGATAATTTTTTGCAGTTTAATAACCAAATGCAGCAGACTATACATATGGCATGGAATAAAAAAACATGTGGAAACAAATATATCAGTAATTTAATTCCATCCAGAAAATGAGGAATAGCAGCCTCACACTGGAATGCCTTATAGAAGTGAAAATGGGGAGCGTATGGGTGTAAAAACCAGTTTGTGTAAAAACACAATGTTGCCAAGATTCACAAATCAGCCTGTAAATATTGATTTATTTAAAAAATTGCTGATATAATTTTGTATGAATCTGTGCTCCCAGATTTGTTTTTTTATGTTTCTCTCTTGTATTCATTTCATTTGGGCTTTAAAAACAATTAAAGTTTGATTTGTGGCTAATTTTTACAATTTATGTACATATACAAACTTTATTTTTAGAAAGTAAATATAAAAAAAAAGATCTGACTATTCTTTAGCTAATTTCATCAACATGATCCCAATGACTAAGTTCTTAGTAGTGGCTGAAAATTCCTTTATATACAGAACAGCCTAGTTTAGATGTTTTAATGTTTGGATTGATGCATTAGATTTTTGTGACACTTCATAGTTTCAGGTAATCTGACAAAAAAGTCAGAGTAATAACATCCCTGATATAACCTTTTCTTTTGTAAAATAAAAACACCCTTCTTCTTCTTAAGTCACAAATGAACCCCGATTAACACATTAGGACACAGACACACACACAGGACTCAACTGTAGATTTATTGTCAGGCTTTGGAATTCCTGTCAACAAAAGTGAGAAAACATGAAAACAGATGTTAACATCAGGATTAGATGTACTCCTGAAGGTGAAATATGAACAGAGAACAACATTCAATACATCTCCAGCAGTATGAGGTCCCAAAAGCACTGATTTCAAAAGTCAAAACCAAAAACGCATAAGAAGGAGCCCTTCAAACAAACATAGTGGTGGCAATATGATGGCCTGGGCCCTTAGTGCATCGGAAAATTGATTGATGTAAAAAGGATTTCTGCTTTCCACCATAATATTCATTCATGATCCCTCACAAAGTATTTGTTTCATGATCTGAAATGTTTCAGAGAGACAAAACAATAGAATAAATCTGCAAACAGACTAATACTGGTTCTTGGCGCGGTACATAAAGTTAAAATTTAACCTTTGAAAGGAGTCTCCATCAAAGTAAAGCTTTGCAACACCTAATCGAACACTTTTAAATAGACAGAAAGATGCATGATTCTGAATTTAATAAAGACTACGTCACCATTACATGATTTATGCTAAACCCCAACGTCATTTAGATTCATAAGACATATGGTCTGTGATTCTAGTTGGTAATAAAACAGACATTGTTGTCTTTTTTCTTTTCATGAGCTTTAAAACTCATATCAGTTAAGGTTCAGAGAAAAAATACATACATGTGAAAATGCTATGCTTTGCATTTTTAACACAACAGCCATGAGAAAATATATGACTGTGTTGGAAAGCAGTTAGGCAACAGGAAACAGGTGGACTGTTTCTTCAAGCTTCTTCAGAATTTAAACACCTGCATGTCTGTTGAAAGCCAACCAGTCAATGCTCTGCTTTCTCTCTTGCATAAACATCTCCTTTATTTTTATTTTTATTCCCTCATGAGAAAAACCATATTTCTTCATGCATGTTAATCTTGAACTGACTGGGTGGGGATCTGCTAAGATTAAAAATATACAATATTTATTCTTTTAGGTTTTTCTTACTGGAGGAGCTAACATGCAACGCACCGCTCTGTAGAGTTTTAGCAAAGGGATCAAGTAAGCATTGGAAACTTGCAGATCCTTTAAAATGTCTAACTATAAAAAAAAATCTAATCTAAATTTTCTTTTTAAATCATTTCATTTTTTTCCCATTTTTCTCTATAGAGTTGTGTGCAAATGTTAGAAAAGTGTTTGCAGTATCTGAGGAAAGTTGCTCATATGACAAAATGAATAACTGCTAGGATATTATACTAATTAAACTAAAGAAACATATAAAGGACATACTTAATAATCAAAATAAATGCTCTAGTTTTTTTTCTTTGTATCATATTGAGGAATTAAAAGAAGTGTTTTGTCTTGTAAGACAAAACTTTCTGGTGAGAAGCTGTGGGAATGAATGCTAAGCAGAATCAGTCTGCATTCATCTGAACAGAGCAGTTGGTAAAAACCAGCGAGCAGGACGGCAACAAGACGGCCAGTGAGCGGCGTAGACCTGGGAAGGGATCGGCCCCGTCAAGCGTCCTGTTCTCATCATTACTCTCTCCACCAGGACCTTCCTCCTCATTCTGCTGCTCCTCCCCCCCTTCCTGCCCCTGTCCTTCTTCTGCAGGGGGACTCTGCCGAGGTTGAAAGATGACATCTAAAAACTCCAGCTGGCGGAGGCCGCGGAGCATCCTGCAGCTCCGTACGATCTGCAGCTCGCTGAGCGTGCAGGCCCACAGGTGCAGACATTTCAGGTCCTTCAGACGGCTGGCACACAGCAACCCCGTTGCCACCTCCTTCCCACCGAGACTCAGCTCCTCCAGACCGAGCCACCCAGCCCCCAGTCCCAGGGAAGCCATCTGTAACTGATAGCCCTGCCTTGCTGTAATCCCTATTTCGAGATATTTTAGTCTTGAAAGTCCTTCTGGGCCTGAGAGCCCTTCTTTTGCTGCACAGCTCCTGAGTCCGTTTGCTGTGACGCGAAAGGTGTCACGTAACTCCAGACGACTGAGCCTCTCCCATGATGCTAGATTCTGCAGATGCTGATCTGTAAAGGAAGGGACGTTGTTGAGGACCAACCGCTCGACCCCGATCCCTAAAGGTGAAGCTAGTCCTTTTCCTTTCTGAGCGCCTCCCTGCTGTTTAGCCCCAACACTAGATGTGGCTTTGGCTTGTTCGTGGGGCCTGGGAGGTGAAGCAGGCAGAGTCTGGTTAAAAAAGCTACGAGGCAGCTCACAGCCACGCAGCTCCAGCACCCGCAAAGTTCGGGGCAGGACCTGGCAGCCTGGTAAGCTCCTAAGGTCAGCATGCAAAAGACAGAGTTTACTGAGGCGGGGACATTTGGTGGACAAAGCTTTAAGCCAAGACTCGGAGAGAAAAGTGCCTCCTCGAGCAGAGAGCAGCAAACCACGCAGGCGGAGACACCTCAGTCCGCAGCCAAAGTACTGACGCAGAAGAACCCAAAGGATCCGGGACGTCACCTAGAACACGTTGGACGGCCAATGAAGAGACGTGTGAGATGTGGAATAAAAAATGAAAAAAAGTTTCTATTAACAATTCAGGTGCTAAGAATGAAGGAAAGCACAGAAGGATGATAATACTTTTAAAAAGCAGAGAATCATGCAAAAATATTTTTAAAATGTTTTACACACGGAGTTGGAATAAAAAATATGTATGCTATGCTAAAGATTCCCGGTGTTTGGTCAGGTTAAGTTTAAATGGTGTTGAAAAAGTAAATGAGATCAAGTTTGTGGGAGAGACTATAAATCACAAACTTTGTTTAAAGCGTGTGAAGCGTAATTATCCAGATCAATTACTGTGCTTTATACAGTAAAGTGTTTTTCATATAGGAATAGTTTGCATATATTGTATTGTGTTTTACCTTACCTGTCATACTGAGCTGAAATTTGGGTAGATACTGAAAAAAACTAACATTGACCAAATAATCAAGCTTCAGAAAAGATATATTAGAATAATACATAATGTTGGATATTATGAAACAGCTAATGAATTATTTGTAGATTTGCTTTTTTGAATAGTGAAAATAGTCTTATATCCTCATCAAGCATGTTTTAATTTATCTATATCAGAGAAAAAAAAAGCATAGTACAAAACTCAGACTACACCTTTAAGATGTTTATTTGGGAAAAGTTTTCAAATCCTTTTAACCATTTCCTTTAACATTTATGCACTTCTTTTGTGTTTCTGAAGCTTTTTTATATAAAATCCCAAAGTAAAATATAATGAAGCTTGTGGCTGTATGTGAAAACACTATAGGGGTTTAAAAACTTTTGCAAGAGAGAAAAATGTCAGTCTTACTCCTTTCCATCCAGTCAAATCAACTGTTCTCCACAGTCTTTGGTCTTTAATCAGGCGTTTCCATCTTTTGCAAACTCTAGAAACACAGTAAGAAAAGGTGAATGACTGAATGTAGAGTAAAGGGCTTTGGTCAAGTCTCCTGACTTAAATAAAAGCAACATAAGTACAGATCATTTACCATAAGAAAACATTTGCAATATAAACAACTCTCATCTGAGGGAGTTACAACAAAGAAAATTGTTTCAAAAGCAAAACACCTCCTTACCTTCCAGCTCTGACGAGCTCTCTGACACTCAAGTATGAGAGTACGTCTATTAAAATGTTCTCTGGGAAGTAATCCAGATTACAACTTTCATATTCATCCATTTTGTAAATAAAAGTCCAAACACGGAATTATATGTTGACGCACACGACGTTGCGCCTAAATCAACGATCCCCGGGAAACAGCTGCCCGTCCACACTGAAGGACCTAACCAGGCGGAACAAACGCGACTAGGAAATTATTTTTCACTAGAAGTGTCGCGACTGAGTGTATTCAGTCTTTCCCTTTATGACACTGGAACATTTATAGTAACAATGGAGCTTTAAACCATGTTTAGAGACGCTGGCAGAGGAAGTGTTGCCACCTATCGTTCATTTAGCGAAACGCTTCTTGCGCATGCGCGCTTCACCGGTGTTGTGCCAAAAAAGGTACTCCGACTGTAATCATGTGCACCGGCGTCTCTGTGGATGTTACATGTAAATAAAATATAAGAAATACTCTTTCACATTTCTATCAGCACGAAAAACACAATTGTATAAACATTTACTAATTGTTACATATTTAAAGTGACGCTGGTACTATTGCTGGGATAGGCAACAGTCGGAAAGTACCTAAACATGTTTCTTAATATCATAAGCTTTATTTAAGTATAAAGAATGTAGAAATGAGTTAAATGACGTAATTATTAGGCACATAGTAGGACTAAAAAATACGAGCCACTTTGCCCTGAGGTAAACCAAGCTAAAACACAGAAAAACAGGAAACAGAACGCATTGAAATTATCTTCCAATGACAGCGTTGCATTTTTCGACACAACACCGGACAAGATGGCGACCAGCAATGGTGGAGGAATGGAAGTGGATGGAACAGGCAAGTAATAATAATATATCCGAGCACCTAAGCCTCTCACCTACATGAATGAAAATGTGTACGGCATCATGTGTTGTAGATTTTGATTGTAAATAATCTTACTGGAGATATTAATGTGTTTTAAGGCTGCCCACATTATAACCGGGTTAACGTTCATATCTTAGCCTCCTGTTATTTGGTTGCAGTCGCTTCTATGTTCTGTTCTAATTATGAGCCTCGGTTAAGCCTTACGTCATTTAATACATTTATGTAAATCAGCAAATACGTAACAATATAAGTTTTATATATATCACTACCATATCTCCGCATTTATTGAGTGTATAGTTCTTGTCCTTAGCAAACCTTTTTGTTTTAACTTCCACCATTTACTCTGAATATTTCACTTTCCTAGTTGCTAGTATCTAACCCCTGGGATATTTAGCTTGATATATTGTTTTTAAAAGGCAAATACAATAAAACGTAGAGTAGGATCACCACGTTTCCTTGTAACAAACTCATTATTCAACATTACACTTGTTTATTTAGGATGGTTTGGCAGCTAAACATGGTGATTGTTCTGCCACCACATGCTTGCTCAGGAGGAGGGTTTACTTTAAAGTTAGTGTCTTAATATGATTACCTGAACTTTTATAGATTTAAATCTCATTTATATTAATGAATCAATTAATCTACCAATCACTTAGTCTTTATGGATAGAAAACTTCTGAGTCACAAAAACAAGATAAACATATTAAGGTCTGAAGGATTAAGGAGAAGAAGATTGTTGATGGCACACGAGATAGTAAATTTACAATTGAAAATATGTAAAAAGAAACGAAGACTCTAAAATTGTTCAAGTTTTAAACCTAAATCATGAAAAAAAATGAGCGATTGTTCGAGTTAATGAATGTTTCCAACAACCAATGTTAACCTTTATTAATCATAGCATCAAAATTAACTAAATATTCTAAATGTCTCTATTTAAAGTTGATATGAAGCCTGTGTAATTGTGTAATAAAACTGTATGTATTACTAGCTTTAGCCAAAGTTCAATTTAACCTTGTATTGCCATCCTGTCCATCCAAATTGAGTTTAGCTGTTTTTATGGTTTATCGACCGTCATTTCAGCCTAGACACAATGAATAACTATCAAAACCTGTTAAACAGTTCTGTTAAATTGTTGTGCTTATAGCTAGGATCCTATTGAAGGGTTTTTAACTAAATATTTAGTTGGTCTGATCTGGTTTTATGTCTCTCTGGGTATTAAACTGATGCGTTTGCCTCTTAATGTGTCTTATTTATATTTGCCTTTAACTAGCTCCATAGAGATAAACTTTACTTCTGTTTTTTTTTTTTTTTTTATGAAGTTTTACATTTTTAATGGAAAAACACAACATAAATAAATGGCCTAATCTGGTACTTAGAACTTCACTGATACTTTCTCCTTATTTCTTGTTTTATGCTGTTTTGTTGAAACAATTATTTTTTTTTTTTTTTGCTTTGATACGTCTAAATAGGTTTACATTTCATACAGTATGATGTTACAGCTCACCTTCTTTGTGTTTTTTTTTTTTTTTTTATGCATCAGCAGCCAGCCCCAGTGTTATGGCCTCGGGGGTCACTGGGAGCGTCTCTGTGGCCTTACACCCTTTGGTTATCCTCAACATATCAGACCACTGGATCCGCATCCGCTCACAAGAAGGCCGGCCGATGCAGGGTACGTGGTCGGAAAAAGAGTCGGTTTAAAGCTGCATCGTTCTGGAGATGAAATGAACTGTTTGTTCTGCCTCCTCAGTGATCGGAGCGCTTATCGGGAAACAGGAGGGTAGAAACATCGAGGTGATGAACTCCTTTGAGCTAATGTCTCACACCATAGACGATAAAGTGCACATCGACAAGGAGTACTACTACACTAAGGAGGAACAATGTAAGAAGTGATTTTATTACTAAAGCGGGATGTTTGAGAGCTTCAGAGTAGCTTTTATGTATTTAATAAGACATTTAAGGAGCCAATAGCTGAAAAACGGAGCAAAACTCTGTAGGGAAGGCTCATGTCTTCTGAGGATTTTCTTTGGTTGATTACTGTGAGCGATTCCAGCATCAACATTTTTCCATACCTGTCAACTTTCTATCTGCAAATTAATGGAACAAGATAAATATAAATTGGATTAGCGAAAGGTTGTTAGACATAATGATATAGAAGTAGACAATAAAAATACATCCGTTCGAAAGGGGCTCAGAAACAACAAAGTCAGTTTTGGGTGTGGCTTCACAAAGCCCTGCTCTCAGACCTGAAGGAAATGTGTAATAGGGCTGCAACTAATGATCAATTAGCTAATCGATTAAATCTGTCACTTATTTTTTCAATAATCAGATAGCAAAAGGTTCCTTAAAGAAGATTTTTGTACAGAATTTAAACCAGGTGAAAGTAAAACATTTGCACTGTTGTAGTTCTGGATAGAGCATACTGACATTTTTTATTTTAATGTTAAATGCAAATGTTTATATATATTTTCATTTTACAATTTTGGTATAATCACTGCTCTAAGTAGGTTGTTCTGTCAGCTAAACTCTATACTCCATTTTAATGATTGATTTCTAAATTTGTAGACGACTATTTCAATAATCGATTAATCCGATCAATAGTTTCAGCCTTAGTGTTTAAATATTATCAAAACAACCTGAAGCCCGCAGACACCAGCTCTGTCAGGAGAATCGGACCAAAGTCCATACAAACATCTAACTGTTAAACCCATTTAATCAGAAAAAGGGACGAATTATTTGCTCCCTTTCCGAACATTTTGCCAATTTAGCCCGTTTAAATGTTAGAGAGTACGAAAAAGTCTGTTTATAAATATCTGTTTGATTGGATGTAAAAAATGTCACCTTTAGAGCAGTCACATTCAGATAGATGATTTAAAAGATAAAATGTCGGTAGCAGTGAGAGTTTTTAGGCGTGAACAAAATATTTTCTCTTTAATAGTGAAAAGTATTTGATCCTCCTGGATGTCTCTCAGTTAAACAGGTCTTTAAAGATATGGAGTTCTTGGGTTGGTACACCACAGGCGGTCCTCCCGACCCGTCAGATATACACATCCATAAACAGGTTTGTAAATGCTCCAATGCCTCAATTAAAGAATAATCAGTGATCAGAGAATCTGATTGGACTGCTTCCATCTGCTGCTATTCATTAATGAATATCTAAATCAGGAACACGTTTGTTTTCTTTTGCACCAGGTGTGTGAGATCATTGAGAGCCCCCTCTTCCTCAAACTGAACCCAATGACCAAACACACCGACGTAAGTTCATCTGCCTTTAAAAGTCAGAATCAGCTGTAAGGTGATGCAGTTTCATTTTGATTCAGCTCCTGCTGTGATCTTCTCTCCTCCAGCTTCCTGTTAGTGTTTATGAATCAGTGATAGACATCATAAGTGGAGAGGTGAGATTGTAACGCAGCCTCAGATGGTTTATTTCCCTTCTGCAAAAACCTGGTAACTTATTAAGTTTTTCATCAGGCCACCATGTTGTTTGCTGAGCTGACTTACACCTTAGCCACAGAGGAAGCAGAGAGGATCGGTGTCGACCATGTGGCTCGAATGACAGCCACCGGAACTGGAGAAAACTCCACTGGTAATTCTGTTTTCTGTTAAAAGTTATTTTTTCTTTTTAAACAAAAGCAGTTGAATGCAAAATAGAACTGTGAATATTTGGTTACATCTGATCTGTGGTGACCTGCAGTCTGGTTACCTTTTTAAATAAGTAGCAGAGGAAGTAACGCTAATCTTTTTTTTTTTCCTACAGCACAGAATATATGAACCATTATCTTTCATCATGTCATATGTTCTGACACTGAATGGTCTGTGTTTCTTCTGTTAGTGGCTGAACACCTTATCGCCCAGCACAGCGCTATAAAGATGCTCCACAGCCGAGTAAAGATCATTTTAGAGTACGTCAAAGCCGTCGAAGCAGGTAAACAAGCTTATTTATAAGGGAACAGGGAGGAAAATATGTAGAAATCAATGTTTGAAGGAGCTGCAATTATTTCATATCCTTTTTGTTTCTAACACGCCTCCATAATAACGAGTTCCACTTTGAGAAGATCTCAACTCTTTATCATATTTGATACATGAGGTTTTGAGAGCTCTGCATCATCAGTGGGACATTTTTGATCTGACTACACAATCAGACACATGTCATGAAGAGACAATGAAAAAAATCTGATAAAAAAATAACTTGTATATCAAAATTGATGCAAATATATCATCATTTTTTTTTTATTTCCTTTGTCAGTAAGTAAAATTTTATAAAAATTCAAAAAAATAAATATTTTCGAATTTTTTGAAAAGGAGACTTTTGTCAATTATTTCACGGTCTAGGCTTTAGAGGGTTAAAAGCATCCCTGAATCTCTGTTTTTTTTTCTCTGTGTCACAGGAGAGGTGCCGTTCAACCATGAGATCCTGCGAGAAGCAAACGCCCTTTGCCACAGACTGCCAGTCCTTAGCACCATTAAATTCAAAACCGACTTCTATGATGTGAGTTAATCGTTTATTTTCATTTTCAGTTTAAATTTGGAACAAAGATGCTCCTTTAGTGTTTACCTGATGCACACATGAACATGTCTAAACGATAAGAGACCAGAGATGCCCTCATTTCTCTGCTGTTGTTTATCAACGCTATTTTTAACCACCAGCGGTGCTTGTGAACGCTCCTCACGCTAATCTATAGATACCTGTAATCGGAGCAGAGTTAAAGTTTTAAGAGGAAGATTTATTAAGACCAGCTGGTTATTTTAAAATGCCAACATTTTAAAGAACTGAGTCAGGATTGGGGTTTAAAGATTGGTCTGGAAATAACAGCCGTTCATCACAGTTACCTGCATAAACTTTGAAACCGTGTAAAAATTAGAGACCGTCAGAGCGATTGTGATGCTAGAATGACATTTCACCATTAGTGAAGAATTTTCATTGTCATTACACTGTCACAAGAGTAACGAAATGAGCTCTCTGCATTTAACCAATCCACCTGGGGAGCAGTGTGGGGTTAAGGGTCTTGCTCAGGGAGCCAGAGTGGGAGTCTGTGGGAGTGGGGCTCGAACTCAGAACTTCAGGATTCCAAGCTCTATGCCCTAACTACTAGGCCGCCACTCCCCTAAAGCTTTGTTCCTCCTCTCCAGTAGGAAACTTATTCTGGGTTAGCGGCGGATTTTGGGGCTCTGAACTACAAATTCCCTCAGTAGAAACATAATAAAACGGTGGGAAATAATGTAAAATCTGTGTAGATATCTCTTATTTTGGTAAATATTTCTATCCGCAACAAATATCACAAATACATCATCTTTCAAAAGCAATGTGTGCATCATTTACAGTACCGTTGAAAAGTTTGGGGTCACATTGAAATGTCCTTATTTTTGAAGGAAAAGCACTGGATTTTCTAATTTCTTGCATCACAGATTTTTAAATAGGAGTCATTGATGTCAGGTCAGAACATCATCTTTATCTTTACCTTTGTTTTAAAATAGGAAAAAAAGTGTTAAGGGACCAAAGTCTGAGCTCCATCCACCACACTGCAACTCATGAACATTTTGTCTTACCTATAAAAAAAAATGTTTTTACTGGACTATAATATGCAGGTTTTCCTCTATCTCTATTTAAAGATATCCATGGAGATAAATAATCCGATCACCATACTTCCTATATTACTGCCAAAAAGGAAACTGGTTTCTAAATTTAATTATTACATTTTATATATAAAGAAGAAAATACAGATAAATATTATTACAGATTATAACTATAATTCCAGTGAATTCTATTATTTTATCAGCAGTCTGAATAATGAATACTCAGTGTGAGGTCTAGTTTTTATAAAATAATAATTTTCAGTTGCCAAAGTAAGTCAGTAAAAACAACATTGAGACACAAAGGGTCATTATATCATTAGATATGTTAAAGATATCTTAGTGAAGGGCTAAATGAACATTTATGTCAGAAATATGTTAATGGTTTGTATAGAAAGTTTCTAGCTTAATATAACAACATTTAAGGTGTTATGTAACAGTAGGAACTCATCAGAGCCCACTTAGTGTTTTATGTAAAGAAATATGAGCATATAGTTCAGATGAGCATATTCTTTTGCCATTTCCCTCTTTCTAAAACTGTTTTCTACTGAACCTCTGTGTTTCCTGCAGCAATGTAACGATGTGGGCCTCATGGCCTACTTAGGCACCATCACCAAGACCTGCAACAGTATGAACCAGTTCATCAACAAGTTCAACGTTCTGTACGACAGGCAGGGCATCGGCCGGAGGATGAGAGGACTCTTCTTTTGAGCTGACGAAGCGATGGGGGAGGGGGGCTAACGCACTATTTTTTGTTCTCTGTTTGTGATCTGATCAGATAAAAAAAGAAAAAAAAAAGAAAAGATTTCATTTCAGTTTATCTTCAACCACAACCCTTTCTAAGGAGCATTCGGCCACACGAATCAGTTTAAAGCCTCTCTGGTCTCCTGGCAGCAGAGATCACTGAGCACGGACGTTACTTTACCCACTTTGTTTTATTGTTTCATGTTTCTGTAAGTAATAAATGCTTTTTTTTCATGGAATTTTTTGTGTCGTCTCTTGTTTTTTTTTTAACAGGAACTAATTATAGTTATTATAAAGACCGTTGAGAGAGCTGCAGGTTTATTATCAGGGTAAACCTTTACAGTCAGCTGGTGTATTTCTGAAGTAGCGTTCCTGCTGTGTGACCGCCTGCAGAGGTCTGAGGCAGACAGGTATACGTGGCAGAACAGGAAGCCTTGTAGAGCTGCAGAGTTTGGTAGATAACCTGAGTAAGCGTTTGTTTGGGTATTAAATGCACAGCAGAAACCAACATAATGACCCCCCCCTCCTGTGTTGGTCGTTTACAAGGTTTGTTTTTAGCTGCCATGTGGCTCTGGGAGGAGCAAACCTTTTCTCTGCATTATCTTGCACCTTTTTAAAAGTCCTAATACAACCCATTAACTGAATAAAACAACGTTTCTCTCTTTTTATTGCCTCATTACTCAAACATTGGCTGAAAACTGCTCTTTTTTTTTTACATTGTGAAGATAAATACAGTAAGTAAGTTTTTATCACAGCAACTCAATTCTCTTTTTGCACATTTCTTCGACATTAGATGAAGGTTTCAGTCAAAGTTCATGGAAGGCACTTGAATGACCCCTCATTTGTTCTCCTCAGTGGGCTCGTCGGCAGCATCATCAGGCTGTGGGTACTGGAAGCGGGCCGGGTCGTACAGGTCGTCCCTGGGGTCGTAGGAGTGGGGGTGGTAGTAAGGGTACGGGTAGAAGCCGTGTTTCTTCTCTTTGGACGAAGGAGGTGCCGGTTCTTCTACGTGTTCCTCCTCTGCTTCTTCCTCTTCGGTTGGGGGAGGTGGTGGTGGTGGGGGACCCATAATCTTCCCCTTGATGGGTCTTGGAGGATTGTCAATAAGGCAGTCGGGGTCCCAGTAGGGGTCACAGTCGTACTCCATACCCTTGAAGACGCGGATGGGTGCCGGAGGGGGAGACTTCTTGACCAGAACCGGTGGAGGCATGGGAGCCTTCTTTGGATGAGGATGCTTATGGACCATCAGAGGGGGCGGTGGGGCTTTCTGGGGGGTACAGTGAGGATGATAACGAGGGTCACATAGCACCGGAACAGCCCCGGAAGGCAGGTAGACGATGTGTGGCTTGCAGAGGGGGTCCTTGCTGTTGCACAAGAAAAGAACGTCCGCCTGAGAAATGGCTGGAGGGTGAGGAAGAGAAGGAGGGGTTTCTGGTTGATCCGTGGGCTTTGGGATTCCTTTCATTGGAGGAGGAGGAGGTGGAGGAGCATACTTGCACCTTTTATCTGTGACTGGGTCGCACATGATCATTGGTACGCCCAGTTTGCTCTGGAAATAAGAAGCGTTGGGGCCGTATGTATGCTCCAGGTACCTCATCTGCTGGTAGAGCATCCGGAGCTTGTCGATCTCATAGAGCTGTGAGGAGAGAGAGAAAATCACTGCTGTGTTCCCCGTTCTACATACAACCTACCTACACTTACAGAAAACTTTAAACTACTCAAGAAATATACAGACCAAAAACATGACCTACATCTAATCTAAGCTGTTAATTTAATCTGTGAAAACAGATTTAAGTCAATAAAGTAGCCTCTCACCCCCTCAGTGTGTCCGATGCTGCTGTAGTATCTGTAGTACGCTTGGAAGTCTGGGTTTCCTCTGTACCACCTGGGGTCCGCATTACGCCTTGGCCTCGAGTGAGACAGGAAGTCGTTGGCTTTCTCAGAGTGAATGCTCACATCGCTCAAAGGCACCATCCCTGTTAGAAAAATATATAAAAACCACCATTAAAAAAAAAAAAAAAAAGAGTAAAAAGCTGCTTTATGATATTAGAATCTTTTTTTTTTTTTACCTTCCTGTTTGATGGCCCCCAGCAAAGATTTGGAATCTATCAGGCCTACAAAAGGAATTAGATTTATCTGTGATAAATGGTTTCCAACCAAAACTACAAAGAGAAGAGAAGAATAACAGACCTGAGAGAAAAAGAAGACAGCATAGTGGCCCCAGCGAGCCATGTGAAGAAATCATGTTGAACCTGCAAAAAAAAAAAAAATTATAAGGGGAAAAAAATTATTGATGAACATGCAAATTACACAGACATTTTTAATCCAATGGTCCAGATATTGTATTATTTGTATTTAACATAAAAAACCTTAATTGATACCAAACCTTAGAAAAACAGATTAAATACTATTTTTATTTTCATTAAACTTTATTTAATCAGGAAAAAAAATCCCATTAAGATTAAAAACCTCTTTTTCAAGGGAGTCCTGGCCAAGAGCCAGTAAAGTTACATACAGAACTGAAATGAATTAAATTAAATACATAAAGAAGCACATCAAGTAAAACAATGACAGACAATTGAAGGCGTTCCAAATTCTTTCATTTTCAACTTAAAAGCATATAAGGATAAAATCTCAGTCAACTTCCAGTCTGTAAAAAAAAATCCACACAAGGAGCTGGGTATACGAAGGCTGTCTTTCCTAGATCTGTGCAGGATAAAGAAACAGTGAGCAACAGCTTATTGTTGGAGATCAGGGCATAAGAGACTATGCTTTTCTATATAATGGATTTTTTCTAATTAATATTACTAAAAAAGATTCCTTATGGAGCAGCTTTATGAATAAAACCAAAAACATGAACATGTTTCACTTACCAGGCAAGGTCGCCGTCTTCACTGAACCAGCAGAACCCACTGAGCTAAATATCTAACCCCTCTGTCATCCATTCTGTAACTTTATCCTCTGTCCAATTAGATTTCCCCTGACTTTCAAACCAAAATCCTTTCTCCTCCTCTTTTTCTTCATTCTAGATATCGTTTAAAGTGAAGCCCTGCGGCACCAATTAGGAATAAAAAGCCTCTGGACCAAAGCCATAAAGAACAAGACTTCAAATGGAAACTCCCCATTAGGTCTGGAAGGAAATCATCACCTGCTGGGAGCAGCTACATACAATCATAGTGAAAATGCTGTCTACTGAAAGTGTGCCTCAGCAGAAAAAAAAAAACTGTAAAAAAGAAGCACAGATCAAAACCATAAACATATATTTATAGGATTTCCAGGTTTTCCAAACATGGTTGGTTCTTAAAAGTAGTTATTTTAGCTTTAAGAACACCTGTTTTTCTAGCTGTTGTGGGACAAGATGGCTATCAAAACAGCTGCATTTCCCACTTTTGTCCCTGCATGTTCTATGATACATTTAAAGTACTAATTATACAGCGTTCCTGTACATAGCTATCATTCCAAGCATAAAAACTGACTTTTTTTTTGCACAGTTTTCACACCATGAACAAAAGACACATACCCATGCAGAAACTGGGTAAATAATTTGAATAGTACAACATAGACTCAGATTAAGTGGTGGAGCCAGCAATCTAAAGAAAGAAGTGGCTGAAAATGGATAGGCGTCACAAGTTCAAAGTCAATCTATATCATACAATGAACAAGCATGTTGAACTTTCCAAATGAAGTTGAGTGCATATTTTTAATGCCTTTGGTAAGAAATATACATACTAAGCTAAAGCGAGTGAAATAAGTGTTAAACACGGCACCATTTTTTTCTGCTGTAGAGGTGCTATTGACAGGACATTTTCACCAGGTGTCTGCAATAATACATGCAACCAACACATACAAAGAAATCAAAACAAAGATGTCCAGAAATTAAGTTGTGTAATAAAGTGAAATGGCACGGGGAAAAAGTTTTGAACACGTGAAGATAAGAAGGTGCTAAAAGGCATGGAAACCAAGACACCAGCTGAAATCTCAATAATTAAAAAGCAATTATGCGCCTTGTAAGAGCAAATTTCTATTCGCTGTATCAGTCCCAATTGATGGCCTATATGATGTCTCTGGTATCAGAAACATCTCATGATAGATAAAAGAAAAGAGTTTTATCAAGTCCATTGCAACCATATTGCTGCAAATAATGGCATTGGTTACAGAATGATTTCTTAACTTCTGAATGTAAGCACTTTTGTGGCCATAATTCTAAAGAGGAAAGAACATCATTCACCATAAACCCACCATGACCAGGTGCTTCTCACAAGATATCTGACAGAGTGGTAAAAAAAACTAATCAGATGAGGTTTCCAAAAGCCAAATATCACCTTTGGAGAGCTTCAGAAATACCGGGAATTAGCAGGTACAATAGTTTCAAAGAAAACAGTAAGTACGACTCCTTTGCTGAACAAAAAGCATGTTTAAGCTTGTTTTAAGTTTGCTGCACAAAATTTGTGAAATGCTGGAAGAATGCTCTTTGGATGCCTTAATGGACATGATGTTTGGAGGTCAAATGGCACTGCACATCAGCCCAAATACAGAGAAGCTTGGAGGTAAAAACATCATGGCGTGGGGCTGTTTTTCAGCATAGGGTATAGGCAAGCTTCAAATAATTGAAGGATGGATGAATGGATAAATGCACAGAGACATTCTTGATAAAAAATCTGCTGCCATCTTGCAGGATGATGAACATGAAACGTGGGTGGACATTTTGGCAAGACAATGACCCCAAACACACATCCAAGGATACTCCTAATTGGTTTCAGAGAAAGAAAATAAAGCTTCTAGAATGCCAATCGCCTGACTTGAATCCAATAGAAAATCTATGGAAAGAACTCAAGATCTGAGTTCATAGAAGCCCATGAAACCTTCAAGATTTGATGACTGTGTGGAAGAATGGGCCAAAAATCACACCTGAGCAATGTAAGTGACTAATTTCTCCATACAGGAGGCATCTTGAAACTGTCATTGCTTACTTTGTTTAAAGAAAGAAATACATTTCAGTAAGTGTGTTTAATACTTTTTCCTTTTCATGTCACTTTACTACATATAACTTAATTTCTGGACATCTATGGTTTGATTTCTTTTGTGTGGATTGTTACAAACACCTGGTGAAAATGTTGTCAATAGCACCTCCAGAAATATATTTACTGAGGAAAAAGGTAGTGTTTTCAATGCTTATTTAACCTGCTGGATCTCTAGTTATGCTGCAATAGACATGGGGTCCACTTTACATCATTGTGCTCCATTCCACTTCTGTTCTCCCATTCCTCAGTATTTCTTAGTTAAACGTGATGCACTCCGGTTTTTCCTCATCATAGTAGCTTCATCTGTTCTGTTCCTGTTACACCATCCTGAACAGAAGTATCAGCTGGACTGCTGCCATCATATTTATAGGTGAGAGTAGAGCCATGTTTATCAGTGCTCATTCCTGATTCTCTCCTAGATGCAGCTTTTACTCAGACTGACAGGATGTGCCCTCTTTCATCCCTTTGACACAATAATTGGTTCAGAGGTTATCCACTTAAGTTTCATTTAAGTTCGTATGCATAATCTAATGAAAAGAATTTTAAAAGTGTTTTAAGTAAAATGTTAAACAACATGCAGCAGGTTAAACAGACTCAAACACTGAGTAACTAATATTTAGAAACAGGATAAAGGGTGTAAAGACAGCATATTTAACTAAGGCATGAAAATAAATGTTAAGTAAACCATGCATCTTTTTTTTTCTTTCCCAAATTCCACCTCAGATTTGTGTTTTGTGTGGGTTCACCACACAAAAAAAGCTGACTTTTCATACAAAAAAGAAAAGAAAATAGCAGACAAGGCTGAGAGTAATTGCTACTTTCAGCACCATGAGTAAGCCCCGCCGGCTGCTGCAGCTGAAAACTACCAGGTGTTGAATTTTTTTCCCTTCAAACTTTCAATGTGCATAAAAAAGTCAAACTGAATACCAGTGGTTCATACAGAAGCATTTATTATATCTCCTAAAATACAAGGCGAAACAATAACTTCACTCACCTGATTTGCATTAGAGTGAACATTAATGTACAAAAATTCTTAATATGAACTAGATGCTTTCAACTGCAGATTCTACTATGTTCTGACTTACATATTTACAGGCAGTTTAATAGAGAGCAGGTTTCCTGAACATATAAAGCAATGGGTCCCAAAGAGCAGAGAAACACTCAGGCATGAAAGTAAAAGGAAGTCCTTGTTATGCCCGACTTAAGTTACAAAAAGGAGAGGGAGGAACCACAGCTGATCCTGGTGGAAGGCGGATCCAGGATGGTTCAGACGAAGGTGATCCTGGTACGGGCCTGGTTGATCTGCCACACGTTCAGCTCCTCGTACTCCTCCAGCGCCTCCTGGAACTGGGCAGGAGTGAACCCGCGGGAGACGCAGCGCTGCTCTGCTTCGGCCATGCGGACCACGCCACCTGATCCCCCGCGGCCCGCTGCTCCCTCTGTGGCGAGCTCACGCACCAGAGAGAAGATTACGTCTGCTGGGCGCTGGGTCCTAAAAGAGGAGTTTAGATGTTAGTTTTATCCCAGAATCATAAAGCAACCCATCTTAATACGTTTATAAAACATCAACAAAGACAACCAGGAGCTTAAATGCTTTTAAAAGATAAAAAATATGGAAGTTCTTTAGACTAGGAGATGGTAAACAAGGAGCTTTGAGGCTCTGTAAGGATACGAAGCACAGCAGAGCACATTACTGGTTTATTACAGCTTAATATTAATTTTAGTTGAGCTTTTGTTACAATTCTACATTTTTTCTAGATAAAAGGACAATTACCCCTCAGTTTACTAAAAATGTATTGCTTAAAATGTAGCTAGTGGCACAGCGAATATTAAATGTAAAATTAAATGTAATAATTCCAGAGAATTCAAACAATTGGTATAAATTTGCATCCACGATCAGAGAAAACTATAAAGTACCTATGATTTATAGATTCTAAAAGTTTCCCCTTTTCCGCCCAACAGAAATACAAAACATTTTTTTTTCTATTTTGAAAGAGCTCAGAGTGCAGAACAAGCATGACGGAGTGTGAACACGTTGCTCGTTTCCATGAACAGAGCTCCATATAAACCCAGAAAGGTTTTATAGCTTCCTCCAACACAAACTGTGATGAAAACACCAGAAGACCATAAAAGCAGACTCTGAGCCAGCACACATCCCACATGGAGCCAACTGATCCCAGTCATTAGGATCCAACACCAACCTGGCAGTGCTGGACTTGTCAGCTTGGAGGGAATCCTTGGACATCTCCATCAGCCTCATCGCCTCGTTCACGTCTTCTTTCTCCACTGTGTCCATCATCCGAAGTCGGGTCTGAGGAGGTGGGGTGCAAGTGATTTAGAGAGGGATGCAAATGAAGCAACTTCAAAGCGTTCATCTGGATCCATGTCTGTGTGGGCTGCGCTGTGCCGGCACTGTCAGACCGAGACAAGTGCAATGCCCTCTGGGATGGCCGGCAATTGCCCAAGTCTCCGCCTCTCAAAACCAGCTAGTCTCTCCACAAGTGGTGAGCAGAAACCACAAAAATAAAGGTCTGACGTCTCCGTGACTGCGCTGGCCATGGTCAGTTTTGCATGGGTTTGCACAGCTGCTCTGATTGAACACAGGCTGACTGCCCACCCAGCAAAGCTGGCCAGAACCAGACCAGAGGATTCTGAAGGAATAAAACATCAGAGCTGTTCACCAAAACCAAAAATGTTAGGAACACAGCTATTCTGTTGGCAGCAGAGTGCCACCTTGTGGGCAACTGCATGCAGTACAGCAACCACCTGTTTGCCTGAAGTGCTGGTTTTGCAGTAGATTGATGAACGCTACCTGCACAAACAGCACTTTTGACAACCAGAGGCAGACCGCTGCAGGATGGGCTGGAAAACATCACAACCGTTACACTTAACTTTTACAAACACTTTTTTCTTCTAGTTTTGTAGGAACTAACCAGTTTAAATAAACATAATCCAACAATTATGTAATTACTGTCTAATTCAGCAATGTATCATTTCTAAATAACTTTTGGAATCAGGATAAACTTCAATCTATAACATAAATGTAGACCAGGGACACAAATCTAATCAATTTCAGGTCTACTTGACTCATCTTTGGTTTTCTGCTGCCAGTGGAAACTGTCACTGGGCATGCTTGCTTAGCCGTTTCATTCCTAGACAGAGCCACCTGTGGAAGTAGTTTACTGTTACCATTTCTAACAAAAAGTAATTATAGATCAGGTCCCCTATGTTCGGTTTGTGTGTCTGCTTCCGTCTCCTTGAACTCCAACTGGCTTCAGCAGATGGCCACTAACATTGAGCCTGATTCTGCTGAAGGGTTCCTCCAGTTAAAAGGGAGTTTTTCCTCTCCACCTCCTCCAGATGCATGTTCAGTTTGAGGGATTCCTGGAGAATCAATGGCAAAAAGCAAGCAAATATCTACTGTGGATGGTTTTCCTTATGTTTTAGCCATATACGCTGTCATAGTGGGTATTCAGGGAGATCTGAGGAGTTTGTCCAGTGTGAGAAAGAAGTGCTCACACTGCAGTAGACCAGGTTATCATCACTACCTGCACTGTAAGCACTTTATCGCACACATGACCAAAAACTTGAAAAATCCGCAGAACCAAATTATGTTGCATGAAATTATTTTTGCAAGACAATGTCCAACAAGTGCGATCGCAATCCTCACCAGCGCAGTGGCGAGGCGTAGGATGGAGAGCAGGGTACGAGCAGAGGTGAAGGTGGTGTCTTTGCTGACTCGGGCCTCTTTCCTCATCTCTACATAAGCAGCAGTGATGTAATCGGCCAGTGACTCCGGTACGACGGGCTGGCGCTTCTTACACAGAGCGATGTAACGCCTGAAGTGAACAAATTAAGTCACATTTTTAGCTAATGTTACCTACATATGGAAGGTGACCTTGCTGCAGGAAATACCTCATTAGTTTCATGTCGATGGGGGTGAAGTGAGTGGGCGGCTGGCGGGAGTGCTGGTGAACGTAGGTGATGTGCTGCGCCAGACGCAGGTCGGCGTCTGCGTCCGGTTTGTCCTGGATGAGCCAGAGCAAATCGAAACGTGACAGCAGGGCGGCCGGCAGCTGAATGTTCTGCTCGATGCTCTTCCGCGGGTTGTAGCGGCCGTAGGCGGGATTGGCAGCGGCCAGGATAGAGCAGCGAGCGTTGAGGGAGGTCATGATGCCGGCCTGTAAAGAGCAGCATTAGAAACTCGACAGACGTACATTTCTGGATTATTCCCCTGGTGGATGTCTGGTGGGGAGCCGTACCTTAGCGATGGAAATGGTCTGCTGCTCCATGACCTCATGGATGGCTGTACGGTCAGCATCGGCCATCTTGTCAAATTCGTCAATGCAGCAGACGCCCAGGTCGGCCAGCACCAAGGCGCCGCCCTCTAAAGTCATTTCTCCGGTCAGAGGGTCTTTCATTACTGCAGCAGTGAGACCGACGCCGGACGACCCCCGACCCGTGGTATACTGACCTGAAACCAGAACAGAGAGCAGGAAATGAAACACTGAAAAGACTGAAGGGAGAATTTACCGATGACAAATGTCCATCATCCTGTTAAAACTGCTTTAAAGAAAATTCAAGTTGCCCCTCCCCTACATACTGCTAGTCAGCTGGCTGAAAGAGCTACACAGAGAAAGACTTTTCAAAAAATCTAATGCTGTAAAGAACCAAATCCTAATAAAGACTGATTTGTTTGAAATGTGTGTAATGAGTTATGTTTCTGATAGTTCTGCTCATTAGTGGTCAAAGATTGACTTGGAAAAGCAGCAAAAACCACAAGTTAATATTTCACTGCATGCCTTAATGGGAAGTGGAGATAAAATATTAAACAGGAGATGGGACTCACTTCTTGGAGCCAGGCGGTCGATGTAGGACAACAGCTGGGACTTGGCAACGCCTGGATCTCCCATCAAGCAGATATTTATGTTGCCTTCAGGGACAGAGCGAAACACAGGAAAAGTGACGCTGTTATTTCAACTCTGTATGAGGGTAATTATGTTAAGAGGAAAAACCAAAAAAAAACCCTGAAACTTTTTAAATGTATTCTTGTTTTATTTCATGAAAATCATCAGATAGTTCAGTTTCTGCTCACCTCTGATTTTCATGCCTTTTGGTGCTTGTTGCACTCCCCCGACCAGAAGGAGGAGCAGTGCCTTCTTCACGTCCTCGTGCCCATAGATCTCTGGTGCGATCGAGCCAGCTAGCTTATCATAAAATCCTTCATCTGAAGCCAAACACAGGAGCTTTAGCTTTAGGGAAGACATGTTGCACTGCCGCCGTAAAACCCAACGCAGATCCTGACCTGTGATACTGCGAAGCTCCTCTTCAGTCAGCTCCTCATTATCAAGCTCATCATCCTCCGTTTTGTTCATGAGTGTGATGCTATGAGCCTCAAGGTAGGTTTCTGACAAAAGTCCCTAAAAAAGGATTTTTTAAATTCGTAAAAAAAAAAAAAAAAAAAAAAGGAAACTTTTAGACCATGGAGAACAAAGTGCTGTAATGATGGTTTAAAGCAGGAGCTTACCTGCACAGCTTGACTGAATCCTGTACGCAGCAGAGGCAGGAAGATCCCAGTGATGGCTACATGGTCCCCAGGCTGAGCAAGGCGTGTGTTTTCACCACGAGCGTACACCGTCATGCTTCTGGGAATGTTTCCAACAGGCACCTGGTCACTCTGTAGAACAAAACACAGCGAATGAGCGGAAGGTGTTGAGAAACACCTGTTCTCCATCTAGAGACGGACCTCATATTCCTGAGGTCTAAATTACACAATATTACACTCCATTATTAAAAACCTGATTATTTTAACCAGAAAATGCAGCATCCTAGTTCAGGTTACCTGGTTCCAGCAGAAATGGCAATAGTCAAAGATAAAGAGACAAAGAAATGCAAAAGATAGATTTGATACCTTATTGATTATTGCTAATAAAATTTGAGATATAATACAGAAAAGGACTATTTATAGATAAGCTGTATTCACGGACGGATAAAAGCTGCACCTCGTTTACTTAAAGTTTAATGCGTGACTTAAAATGTCTTATTAGAGAAAAGAGTATCTATAAATACTGCTGAAATTTCACTGCATGCACTATTGGAGTACCACAGGGCTCTGCGATCGGTTCCTAACAGTTTTTGCTTTTAATAACACTACCGACCCCCTTTCAGAGACATAGGCAGGTATCGGGTATTACATGCCAACAAATAACTCATTCCAGAGGGGTGGACCCGCTCGTCTGGTTCAAAACAAAGTGTTTTTGGTCCACTCCATAAAGCCTTGAATGCAACATTATTTCTGACACTTTGAATTGAAAAACCTTCCTGGATGGGAAGCGAAACTTCTTCAAACATGGAAACTAAGTCCAGTGGATTGTTTAACCTTTTTTGGAATACTAGTAGTTTAATTAGAGCAGCAGTAGGAGAAGGAGAAGCTAAAAAAAACAACAACAAAAAACTAGTAATGTTCAAGTGTAAAAAACTTGATTCAAAAATTGATACATAACAAAACAAAATACGTTCTACAAAAGAGAAATACAAAACTAAAATGTAAAAGGTTAGGGAACCACAAACTTAACAAGTATAGATATATACCCAACTGATTTAGTAGACATTAACCAGTACTGCATGAAGCACTCAAAGAAATAACTCATTACTGTTAATTTCAGTTTATTTACATATGTTCAAAAAAACTTAGATATAGAGTTACAGGAAGCCAATCTAACTATAATAGCTTACATGCTCCTGGATTCGCAGCTCCTGAAACTTGACAAATTTGGAGCCTCTGGTCTGCAGGTAAAGCCGTCCTCCAGACTTGTTGGTGACGCACTCTTGGCTGGGGCACATGATGAGAGGCATGAAGGAGGGAGACTGGATCTGATGAACACAGAGCAGCTCTTAGATCTATTGTCCATGTTGCTCCTACATGTGGGCGGTAGGAGTCTTACCGGTTGGTATGTCTCAGCCCCACACTGGTCACAGGTGTACGTAGCCACAGCCATCATTGGTTTCACCTCGGTGGCTCGGGTCACGATTCCTCGAACTGCGACCAGGTGGCCGATGCTGTCGGCGCGGATGTCGCGCACTACCTTCGGCTTAGAAGTGCTGGGAGCCTTAAAGTAGAGTTCGCTGTAGATGGAGGAGAAAATAAAGATTATAGATCATCAGCATCAGTTCTGCATAAAAAAAACAATCAAAAATGTTTCAACTCACAATCTCCTCATGAGTTCAGGTGGGTACTGGTTACGGGGGTTCCTGGTGTCAGCAGGGTCACGCCCCCTCTGCTCCATCATCAACCTGTGCTCTATATACACATCCAGAGAGTCTTTGGCCACCACCTAAAAGAGAAAAAAAAACACATTAGCACAACTAGCTTGATGTAAAATTCTTTGTTATGCATGGCTTTTATTTTTTAACTGCTTACATCTCGTTCTTTGTATTCTGGCAGCAGCTCATGGACAGCGTCAGCAAACAGGTCCGTGTAACGCTTGGTGTTCTCACACACACTCTCCACCAGCTCAGGGTCTTCCTCTGCCACATCGTCCAGCTCAATAAAGAGAGAGACCTGCTCCCGGTGAGCCAAAGCCACCTGAGCAGACCAGCAATTAGACTCGTCCAAAAACACAAACACCATCTAGACTGGTTGGCGCTTCCAACAGAGACACTACCATTCATCCACTGTGATGTTCTGTCTCACATTAGATTGAGTTAAATGTCTTGTGCTCTAACAAAATTACAAAGATTAATAATATGACTTATTAAAAACAATTTGTATTTATGGGATTAAGGTGACAGAAAAAAGAAATACTATAAGTATACTATACTCTTAAGAGAATATCACCTAAAACAAGATTTCATTTATTTTATTTTTTTTTATGGACCAACACTAGATTCTCCAATCCTTTTAGGATTTCTTACAAACCACCACAATATCTCATATCTTTATAAATGTAGTAAAATAATTATTTAATTAAACAGTCAAAATCCTTGCTGTTTATGCTACAATTCAGAAAGAATCCCCTTCCCACTATTAAATATTTATCAAATTCAAGAAGCAAAATCAAAGTACACAATGGATATGGTATGGATAAAATAAAAAAGGAAAAGCTGCAATGATGAATTTAATTACTGGAACACAGATACAAAACTTAAAATGAAACCCGTTTCACTTTTACTTTTTAACAAATACCACATTTTATTAAATATACTCACCAGCTGTGCTCCATATTTAAACACTTTCTTCCCATTGTCATCCTCTGTGTAAAACTCTTGCAAAAACCTTTTGCATTTATCTGCAAAACACAGAAAAAGATCCACTTCAGTAAAAAAAAAAAAAAAACAGCAAACAAAACTAGACATTTTACCTTATTGTATCTAACTCACAGAAGAGAAGCAATTTGTGTTTAAAGCAGCAGAAATACCTAAAACCCAACAACAGCAGAGGGCCTTCATGCTGAGAGCTCATTTGTTGTCCTGCACCCCCCACCCCCCCCCCACCCCTTTGTTGAGTAACATGGCATCCTGTATTCTCGATGAGTCACTATTGCTACAGTAAAGCACAAACCGCCGCTGCTGCACATTATGAAGCATATTACAGCTGGAGCGGACCTCCTATCAGAGTTTTAGAGCGAAATAAGCAGCAGCTGCAGCGCTGATCGCTCCGGGCTGAGAAGGTAAATACAACAACAGGCGCGCGCTCCACTACCCGTTTTCTCTTAAGGAAATATCCCCTCACTTCTCCAAAGAGCTGCAACTAAAAACAATCCCCACTTCCGCGTTGAGGTGAAGGAAACAGCTACTTGAACGGCTCTTTAAATACTCTACTTACTTTTGACGCCGCGGTAGAAAACGGCCAGCGCTTCTGGTTAATTTCCATGTTCAAGGATGTTATTGTAAACAAAGCAGCACATGGCTTCTCTGCCCCGTCACTGTGGTATCCCTCCGCGATCCTTCCGCGCATAAAAGCAGAACCGGTTGTTGTTTTCAGAGCTCAGCCATCTTCTGCTGGAGCAGAGAGCGATCCACGCACAGAGGAGGATACGCTCACGTTTAATAATGCAGGTTTCTAACAGCTGGATGGATGAGACTTTAGGTTTCTACAGGTTGATGCTGCTGCTTTGTTCGGAGGAGGAGCCGGGTCTGCTTCAATCCAGGCACCGTGTCCGAATTTAAGGAGAAATTAGGCTTCTAATTGAAATTATGGCTTAATCTGAGTATTTAGTAGGCTGAAGTCAAAGTGTTAGCCCGTTTTTAGTTTTATCTCTTTCGCAATCAGCTGTAGTTTAAAAAGGGAAAAAAATCATTATTTTTATTTGCCCTAAACTAAATTATTCTGCACTGGTTACAGATTCCGATAACAGGTTGAACTAAAAATAAAAACTTTCAAGTCTATAAATGTTTGTAAAGAATGACCTGGTTACAAATAATTCAATCACTTCTTGATTTTGGCATGCCATTTGACACAATAGGAATTCTTGTATATAAAAAAGAAGACAAAGTAGAATAATGGATTCAGATTTGACTTACTAGAAATTGATTATTTTTGAGCAGGGCTCCATTTAGGAGTCTAAACTTGGATTAAAACTATTTATCAGATTAATATTAGTGATTTAATTATCAAACAGAGTCCAGGTAGAGCTTTAGATTTACTTTTAGGAACATGGTTAACATTTCAATCAAAATGTGCAATAGGTTCAAAACATTTACTAAAAATATCTGTAGCTGCAGCTCTGTCTAAATAAAAAAGGAACTTGAAAGAATGTCTGGTTTAATATTTTGTCCTTTTATTCACAAAAATCTTTTCGTGGGAGTGTTTGGCCTAGTGGGTTAGAGCAGTGCGCTTTTGCTTTTAGAAGGTTGCAAGTACCCAGTGGGATCCCCACAGCCTGCACTCTGGGTCCCTGAGCAAGACCCGTAACCCCACACTGCTCCCCAGGTGCCGCACAATGGCAGCCCACCGCTCCCCAAGGGGCTGGGTTAAATGCAGAGAGTGAATTTCCCCATTGTTGGACAATAAAGGAATTTACATTATTTTACATTTACAAAAGTCACAAAACATGGCTTCATTTGATTTCGAAAGCAATATCAAATAAATCCTGGAAATGGTCAGTCAAAACTAATACTGGACTAATAGAATATTTCTTTTTTTTGGCTAAAGTGATAATCCACACTAATTACAACACAGACAGAAAATAGCCTGTCCTTTGGTTAAGCTAATTTCATCGCTCATCTATTCGCTGGTCATTGCGCAGCTTCTGACTGTAGCAGCTTCAGCCCCTCTGAAGCACAAAGGCTTGAAAAAAAAAAGAACACACACGGATGGAACATCAACTTCCAGCCACCTAAGAGAAATTTCACAGGCATCTTAAAAACTGCTCTTATTTGATTTTCTATAATGAATTGTAATATATATATATATATATATATATATAAATAAATAAATAATCAGAACTCTTATTTTGGTCTGATAGTAAAATCTCACAATTTAAAGAAGTGGTCAGTCAACAAAACAAATCTCTTCCAATAGACACCGGTGTAGATTAGAAAGTCTTAGATTAGATGAGCTTTATTGATCATGCAGATGCAGATAAATATAAAGATTGGAGTAATTCCAGTGAATCTGTCTCCATTAGTCATGGAAAAAAAAAACAACTAACCCAGCTACCACCTTATCAAATTTATGTAAATTGTTAAGAAAAATCACCACCATATTTCTCCCTAAATAACTGGAGAAAATGCTTCTACAATAGATAAAATCATCACCTAACAGCACAGGGCAATGCACTTACTTAAGAACATTTAAACTAGAGCTTTATTTGGCTCCACATCATTTGTGTAGGGAAAAAAGTGACAGTTTGAACATAGATGTTTACTGATAAATAAAACCTGAAAGCCCTTTAAAGTTTCACCGGAAGCATCGAATCGGAAGCCAACTTCAGTCCAGTCATCTGAGCCTGTAGCAAACAGTGTCTGTTTTGACTAATAACACTAAATAACGTATAAATGCCTATAGAAGACCGTTTCCTATGCTGAACTCAACCCAGTATTGTGATACAGAAACATTTTCCGGATCAAATAGTTGAACTCTGCTGCTGATCCTAATAACACCGCCAGCAGCGCAGCGCTAAATACAAAATGGCTCATCGACCAGCAGCAGTGGATCCTGCTGGTCGAGACGTTGGTCGTTTGGTGCATGGCGCGTGTTTTGAAGCTGCTCTGCTTGTGGAGAAATGTCCTGGGCCGTGAGTAGTGAGGAAACAGGAAGCGATTCTTGTGGGATGGAAGAGGGAAATAGTGACAATGAAGGTTGGAAGATAGCAGCATCAAAAAATGAGAAAAAGCGGAAAAAACAGAGATCAGTTAAAGGGGAATCTAGTTCAGAACAATCCAGTGATGATCAATCCATACATTCCACAGCAAAACAAAATGAATTCAAAGTCATATTCAAAGTCGTTAATCAGGCAGACTCTTTTACAAACTGGAATCCGGTTCACTTAACAAAAACCATCAATAAACTTGTTGGAGAAGTCAGAGGTGCCAGAATTCTGTACAGTGGAGACCTGCTAATTAACTGCAGAGACAGCGCCCAGCAAGGCAAAGCAATACGAATTAACAAAATTGACGGGATAAGAGTTCAGTGCAGCCTAATGGAGAACAAAAAGATCAGCAGGGGAGTCATTGGAGGAGTTCCTCTGAAAATTTCTGAAAAAGAGATTCTGGAAAACATAAGCGGTGCAAAAGTAAAAGAAGTAAAACGGTTAAAAACAACAAGAAACGGAAAAAGATCTGACAGTTTATCTGTACTAATTAAATTCGAGGAAGAGCAATTACCAGGCAAAGTATTCATTGGTTACATCAGTTACAATGTCAAAATCTACAATCCACCACCATTGAGATGTTTCAAATGTCAAAAATTCGGACACATTGCAGCAGTTTGTAAAGGGAAACAGAGGTGTGGAAGGTGTGCAGGAGAACATGAATATGGTAAATGTGGAAAAGAAGCTAAAATAAAATGCTGTAATTGTGGTGGAGAACATACTGCTGCTTATCGCGGCTGTGAAGCAAGCAAAAGGTCTGAAGAAATAAAAAAAATGAAATTTGAGCTTGGAATAACTTATGCTGAAGCTGCAAAAAGGATCCCATCTCAGTCAGAAAAACCCAAACCTACAGTTCAACACACGGCAAATTTCAAACCTCTAGAGAAATCTCCAAAAATTGATGAAGACTCACTAATTGTTAAAAAGACAAATTTTGTTCTTTTCATGGTGGAAGTGATTAATTGTACTGCTCAGACGACAAAAAAAAAAACAGGAAAAATCAAAATAATAGTGAAGGCTGCAGAAAAATATCTGGATGTTAAAGATATGAACTGGGAGATGGTTGGAAGCATGATGGAAAGACCAATGGGACCATCAGAAACTGGCAGAGTTACGATGACCTAGAGTAAATTAAAATTATACGGGCAAATGTAATTTAGTATAATTTAGTATTATGTGGGTTTAAGTTACACAGGTATTTTTTTATTTATTTATTTTTTTTTTATTGGGGGGGGTGAATCGTTTCCTGTTTCCTTGCTTTACTCCATATCAGTTGGTGGCGGTAATGCACATTTCACAAGTTTGCCAACCGCCATAAAATCTCATAAGAAGAAGAAGAAGACCAGCAGCAGTTAGCTCACTGGTTAGCCACGCAAGAGGACACATCCAGGCGTGTTGATCCACACTACCGAGTTATGGAGCCTTAAATACAGGAAAATGATTAGAAGAGTGAAATATTCAGCATAAACAGGCAATCTGCTGCGTTTAAAGCCATGTTGGTCAGCCTTTGTAAAGTTATCGACTGTTTGATTTGCACACATTGCAGATGTTCCATAGTAATACACTTAAATAAAACTAGTGTTTGTGCTATGGAAGGTTTAAGTGGTCTAGGCCAGAAGAGATGCTGCGGTAAAGGGAGGTTCCGGTGTAACATGTGGCTGCTGAGTGGCGCCTGCTCCTTTGTTTAAGGATCCATCCGGGTCACAGAGCAGTCAGCGCCTCACACACAGCTGCTCCACTAACAGCAGGGCTGATCACACTCAGAAAAGTTAAAAAAAAACTCCCCTTAAGGTCATTTTAATTACTTACATTCGTATATATATATATATATATATATATATATTAATGAAATCTACAAAAATCTCTCAAAAAAGCGCATATTATCACAGGATCCCACTGGTTACTCATCTAAACAGACGTAGACTCGACTATTTAATACAATCATTTTATTTTTATAACCCTCTCACCAAAAAGAGGACTATTTTTAACGGGTATTCACTATGAGCAACCTGTTGCTGCCATGTTGTTTGTAGATCACATTTACCTTTCTCTGCCGCATAATCCTTACGAGCCATGTCTGTAGAGTTGAGCGTCAAAGGAAGGGAGTCTTGAAAAACTTTCAGCTGCAGCCGAAGCAAAGCGTTTTGTGAACGGTTTTTGACTACTTTTTTAAAAGCGAAGCTGTGGATTCATTCACATGCAGCCAGCACTTCTCCTGGTCGCGCTGCAAGAACTGGCGCCACTCTGACATCCTCAGCGACCAATCGCGTTGCGTCTTTCGGCGGAGGGGGGCGGGCTGTGAGAGTGGCGCGAAAGTTGGAGGAGGTAGGATGTCACGTGACCACAGGAACAGGCGCGAAATGTGATATTAGGATTTTATACGCCGCTACATGCTTCCAATGGGAGAACACTGGGGAAGTTTATTGTTGAAAACTTGGTTTTGCTTTGGTAAACCTAAGTTTAAAAGATCAAAACTATATGTATATATATATATATATATATATATATATATATATATATATATATATATATATATATATATATATATATATATATATATATATAATCATTTTCCAATATAGTAAAACAATAAACTTTTTTTTCCAATACATTTCATTTACACTTCAAATACACCCCCCATAAAAAACAAAAAACATTTGATATGAATTTTCATACTTAGCTGGATAAATATAACCTATATTTAAAAAGGGTAACATTTTTAATATTTTAATTTATTTCACCTTTATTTAACCAGGAAAAAAAATCCCATTGAGATTAAAAACCTCTCTTTCAAACGAGTCCTGGCCAAGAGGCAGCAAAGTTAGATAATAAACAAAGATACATTAAATTAAATTACAGGTACATAAAAAAAAACATATTAAGTAAAACAATTAGATCATTGTCAACTTCCAGTTTCTTTGTAAAAATATTCCACGCACAGGGAGCTGCGTAGCTATAGGCTTTCTTCCCTAGTTCTGTGCGGGCAAAAGAAACAGTGAGCAAAAGCTGATTGTTGGATCTCAGGGCATAAGAAGTCATGCTTTTCTGTGTAAAGTACAAATGTAAGAGGGCAGTAATCCAAGAAGGGCCTTAATAAAAGTATACCAATGACACTGCCTTTTAGTAGAGAGGGAAGCCATCCCACCTGAGAGTACAGGTCACAGTGATGTGTCATGGCTCTACAGCAGTGATTTGTTTTGAATGTAAAATGTTATTGTGGAAGGTTTGGAAATAAATTTGCATCATTAGAAAAGTTCATTTAGTGGTAATTTAGGGCAGAAGTGTTGAAAACTTTCACCTACTGACCCATGAAATGGTACAAGAGTCAACTCATGACCCCTCATATGGATTACTTTTACTAACTTGCCATCAAAATCAATTAAAGACGGATATAAAATGTTACAATCAGACTCAAAAACCACAGTAGTTGGTTTTTATCAGTTTTTATTCATGCTTTCATTACTATAATTTCTTAACATTGATGTTTACTTTAATTTCTGTAGTGGGTCTCAAGGCCCCATACCGGCTGCCCTAGGCCCTGACTTTGGGAATCGGTGGTTTAGAGGACATTAAGCATAAGTCTCCAAACATGCTTATTTTATTCAACAAACAAAAGTGTACAACAAAGTGATAACAAAAGCAGACCCAGAACCTGAATCAAAACATGAAAAAATGCTTAATGTACTGTTATAGAGACAGTGTTGGAACTAAACTCAATGTAGCTTTAACTTTGCCACATTTATCAAAAACGCATTGTGTAATCAAAGTCACTAACTTCAACAGACCTGATGAGCACATTTAGAAAAACCTGCAGCTTTAATTATTCATTTACAGAAAAACAACTGCTTAAAGCTCAACAACCGGTGCTGCTATGATCTGAAACGGATCTCAGTAAAAGAGCTCATCCAGGATGCTGATTGGGGTGTGACGGGTTGATGGCTGTAGGGAAAAAGAAAAAAAACCTAATTTAATTTTTCAGGCAAACAATATTCCACACAGTCTTTGCACACAGGAAGCTTCAGTTACAGGATCTGAACCCAGGAGTGTAAATATGTTAGCTGGTGAAGAAACTGGCCTATATAAGGCTAAGAGCAGGTTTAGCCTTTGTGCAGCGCTGTGCTAAAGAGCTAACACATAACTTCTGCCTTCAATAATATTGCTGATCACTCCATCTACCCCTCCCAGGCATCAGTTCATATTAAGTGCTTTTCATTGCAGAAAGCATTGCACTGCCTTTACACAGCGACTTGAGAAGATTTTCTATTTCTTTTGGTCTCTAAGCAACTAGAGTGAAAATGTAAGGTTGATGCTCTTCTCTCCATCTCTAAATCCTACTCCAGCAGTACATTTCAAGGATTAGAAGCAGATGCAGACCCTTCTGTACTTGAATTGAAACTTAATAAACTTAGATACATATAATAAAAGGTTAAGACATGTTTCAGACAGAAAGTCTTACTTCTTTACAATAACATTGATGCATATATCTTGTTTTTACCAGTGCATATTCAGATTCATGGTCACTTTCGTAATCTTCTATCTCTGGCTCGTCTTCTCCTGAACCGTTGCTTTCGGCTCTTTCCAGAATGTCGTCTTCAATCAGAGAAAGCCTGGTCACCAATAGGAGAGTCAGAATGTTTTCATGCTCCTGAACAGAAGAGGAACTGATAAAAAGAAGGAGATCTGCCTTACAATGAGAGGCGAGAGTCCAGACTGGCTTGCTTTGAACTAGTCTGCATGGAAGGAGCTTTCCCACGTTTGGTCTGCTTTACTTTCCGCATGTGTGATCTGAAACAGACAGCACCAACAGTTTCATTTTGCATCCCAATTTCTATATCGCTTAGGGCTTACTTTCTTTTAGTGTTGGCTTTCCTTTCGCCTGTTATCATTCCTATTAAATTAGAGCGGAAAGCAGACTGCCCTGCATGACATTTATTAAAAACAAATTGCAGCTTTTGGCAGACTTCCCGCTATAACCAGCAGCAGTCCAAAACAGGCACGGTGAAGGCTGAAGATATGGGGATGATAAAATCAAATTCACCCAGAGGAGAAGTCATCCTCAGACTCCAGCTCAGGCAGGCCACTCGCACTGTCTGACGCTGTGGCTATGGGCTGTTTGCTGGTCTGCTTCAGGACAGTGGAGGTGAGGGCTGGAGTGTGAAGGTGGCTCGGACTACTGCTGCTCTCTGACGGCGAACCTTTAGCAGACACTGAGACAGGGCAAGACAGACGGAAAATATACAGCAGTATTTTATTGATTCTTTATTAAAGATGATTCCAATAATATTCTTGGATCTTTCTGATTAGGAAAGAATATTTATAGAGCACATTTCAGTGGCAAGTTAATTCAAAGTGTTGTATATGAGAAAATAAAAAGATAAGTATATTGAAACTGCATAAATGAAAAACAAATAATAAAAGGACATATATTTCAAATGCCAAAAGAAAGAGCTCAGTGTCACCCTGAGCTGTGGTCCTCCTCTGTTTGGCTGCAGAGGTGACAACGGAGGAAATGGCTTCTCCTTTCTCTTCTGGCTCTTTGTGCTTGAAAGAGTGTGGCTCGAAAGACCTGCAATACATTCTGACTGGTGGCCAGGAGAGGGCAGCACTGGGACACTCAGATTTCAAAATAGCAGATCTGGAAGAGAATCAAAGAGCAGCAGGATTCAGGAACAAAGACCAGGGGAACATGTGTTCATTTTCCATTTTTAACATGTTCTTTATGTATTTTCTAAGTTTTTTTTTTTCAAATATATAGTTTAACAATTCTAGCAGAATCTACAGATGTTCTATTTTTTGAAAAAGAGATAAAATCTAAAAAAAATCAGATTTTGTCAAAAGCAGTATTTCTTGGTAAATAGTTAAATCTGAATCTGACTTGTTGGAAGCATTTCTAGAACACTGCTATTAGAGAGTAAAATGAAATGTTTTTATGTGGTGCAGCAGTTATTGTGTATCTAAAAACCTTAATTTGATAAATCACTTTGGGAATGTTCTGATCTCTATAATCCAAGTAAAAGAAAAAAATCGAACAAGTTGAGTAAGGCTTCTGAAAAGGTTTCCTCTTTGTTGAAACGCTTTGTCGCAGAGAAACATCTGAGGAGTTACAGGATTAAAGGAGAGACAAAACGCTCCAGCAAAGCAGAACTCATCCAGAAGGCTAAGTGAACTTGTTTGGGTCTCCTTTGGGATGCTTCTTCAAAGTTGTGATGGGATGAGGTTGCTGTTTCATCAGCATGTTAAAAGAGAGCTGTAGAAGGTGATACTCATCAGATCCTTCACTCCTAAATGGTCTAAATTTATGTTAGAGCATGGAGCCATAGAGACTAAACAAATTTGAGCTGATCTTTTCGGTTCTCACAGCTGGGCACGGTCCTGAGGAAGCAACTTGAAGCTGAATTCGCTGAGGATTTCTAAGAACGGCACGTTTGGATGCTCCTCGTCTCCATCCTTTGCTGCACGAAATGCAAAACGGATCCCGTCCCTGACAGCAGATAAAACACAAGAAAGATTACTGCTTCAACCAAAAGGCAACAGCATAAAGGTTGCTGGTCAGCAAACAGCCCCAAGATTCATTTCCAGCCAAAAACGGTCATAAAAATAAGCTTTAAAGAGTTGAAGGAGAAAAGCAGGAGAACATAGAGCATGTGTGTTAGAGAAGTGTATTACTAACAGGTGCAGGGCCACCAGTTGTTCGCGGATGCGATGGAGACCGACGCCAAAGCTCAAGGCAAGCCTTCTGGCCAACTCTCTGATCTCGGTGATATCCTGCTGGTCATGGTCCTCCGTAAGCATCTCAGAGAACAGCTAAACACACAGAGGCAGGACTTACCAGGACAGTATACCTGCATTGCATGAAATAAACATGCATGTCATCCTGGTTTCAAGGTTGGATGCAGAAACTTAAAATATAAGAGGGTTGAATTTTAATAATAAAGCCAGAAGAGGCAGCAAAGGTGAAGCTTTTAAAGAGAGCTTAAACTGGGAGTTTTATGGTAGCAGATAACATTAAGCAGAACTGTACCCACAATGCATTGTGATCACCCTGATTTTAATGATCTGGGTTCCTTGCTCAGTG